ACCTGCGCACTACACTCTAGGTACGCAATACTTATATACAATATCCCCCCTTTTCTATGAAGGCATGAATGTATAACAGAAAACAAAGGCAGTAGTAATAAACCAAACTAGGCTCACAATGGAACTTATTTAAACTCAGTTTCTTACAAACGTCCTAGCTCAAACAAAAGTCATTAAAATAACAGGGAAGACGCCGTTCTCGGAAAGGCCTGCCAACATGTTCCGTGTTCTCTAATGTAACATTCCCATGACTGGGGACGCTCCCACCTTGGGCAGGTCTTCTAACGGGTTCCGTGCTCCTCACCGAGGGAATAACTTTCTTGACCATGGATAAGCTCCTAAATAATCGTGCATGTCATCTCACAAGTTCGACGCTTAGTCCCTTTTTCTGACGACGGTAAAGGGTCTGGGGTCATATCTTGTGGTTGACTTGTTTTGACGTTTCTGAAGCAGTAGCACCTGATCTCCCCGGCGAATTTCTGAGGGGCTCGCCTTGTGACGTCTGTCCATTTATGCCTTTGCCTGGGACTTTCTCAAATTGTCATTGGAGCATGTGATTTGAACGAGCTTTGGAAGGCGAGGATGATCCAGACAGGGTATCTTGGTTCTGATGTGACGATTCATCATCAGGGATACGGGCGATACCCCGGTGGGGGAATTATGGGGAGTAATTCGATAATTCATTAAGAACACAAACAGTTCAGAGCGCCAGTTCTTTCCTTCCACGTTAGCAATTCGAATAGTCTTTTCCAGGGTTTTGTTGAATCTTTCTACTTGGGCGTTAACAGCTGGCCAAAGGGGCGTAATTTGCAATGCTTGATACCTAACTGTTTACACCATGCTGTAAACTCATCTGACCTGAAAGGGACGTTGTCAGATGTAATGACTTCGGGAATGCCATGTGTTGTGAACATTTGGTTAAGGTGCCTTTGGCTGTGGCTGCAAAACCTGAGCGTGTAACATGGACCTCTGGATACTTTGATGTTTCATCAACAACAACAAAAAGATACTCTCCTGATGGAAATGGGCCTAAGTGGTCAATGTGGATTGTGTGCCACACTTGTCATTCTGAGGGGTTCTGGGGTAGACGTTGGGCCGACGATTTGTGTGCCACACTTGCCTTTGTGGATCTGTCATTCTGAAGGGTTCTGGGGGAGAAGTTGGGCCGACGATTTGGCAACTAACACATTCGCGCACATATCTCTCTGGTTGAATATCGATGCCAGGCCACCAGACTCGTTGTCTGAGATGCTGTTTAAATTTAGTGATGCCTTGGTGCCCCTCATGTGCTAGCTGAAGAATGCGTGGGCGCAGTGCGTACGGAATTACAATACGACTGTTGCGCAAAATAATGCCGCGTTTCTGGCAAATTTTCTCCTTTAGATCAGCAAAGGGCGCTGTTGCAGCTGACCAGTTGCCAGTGTCCAGGCACTCCTTGATGGTTTTCAAAGTAGGGGCAGATTCGGAAGCGAGAAGAAGCTCCTGAAGAGTGATGGCAGAAGGAAGGGAGTCAACCACAATGGAGTTAGCGTAGTCCTCAACAGGATCTTTAGGTGTATTGGTGGTTACAGGTTTGCGTGATAGGAAGTCGACAGCATTTTGGATGCTAGGTTGGTAAACAATGCGTGGGCTGTACTTTTGACGCCGTAATCGCCAACGTTCGATTCTCGGTGATGGGTTCCCACAGCGTTGAGGAGAACTTCTGGAGGTTTGTGATCTCCCACTAAGTCAAACTGGCAGCCGTGGATCTAAAAATGAACTTCTCACATGCCCATACCCCTGATAAGGCCTCTCTTTCGGTTTGGCTGTAGCGCTGTTCGACGGGTGATAGACTGCGGCTTGCATACTCAACAGGCCGGATAGAACCATCAGGGTGCTTCTGAGTGAAGGCGCCACTGATCCCAATCTTGAAGGCATCACGGCGTACTTGGGTGGGGAGGGAGGGGTCAACCTGGGCCAGAACCGTGTCACTAGATATGAGGTCACGCAGCTTGTTAAAGGCTTCAGATTGCTCTGGACCCCATGACCATGGACAGTCTTTGTGTGTGTTCCTTCTTATTGCCTCTGTCATAGCAGCTAGGTTTGGAAGGAAACGGGTGATGGTATTTACTAATCCCACATGCTAAGCTTCCGTGGCTGTGCTGGAAGGCTGCATGTGCTTTACTGCGTGCATACGATCCTTGTCGGGGGATACACCTTGTACTGAGATGTGAAATCCTTAATAGCCCAGTTCCGGGACACCAAATAGGCAATTGGTTGAATTGAATGTGAGGTTTTTCTCTTGGAGACGTAGCAACACATTTTCCAGGGATCTGTCGTTCTTTTTCTTAGTGGTACCATAGACGAGAATGTCTTCAGCAATGTTCCTTACATTATGGCATCCCTCGAGGACTTGTCCAATTACGTGTTGGCATATTTCAGAGCCTACTGATGCTCTATATGGCAGACACTTGTAACGGCGGAGGCCAACGTGTGTTCTGAATGTTGTCAGTTGACGAGACGATTCAGCAAGTTCAATTTGGTGATAGCATTCCTTAAGATCAATTTTGGAAAATGTATTGGAGCCGTTTAGGTCTTGGAGAATTTCTTCGGATGTTGGGTATGGGTGGTGTGTAGGGCGGAGTGCTTCGTTGGGGTTGCACATATTTACACGCAGTCGTATGTCACCATTCGGCTTGTCGACAATGACAAGTGGTGATACCCATGATGTCGGGCCCATGACCTGTTCGATGATATCTTGATCTTCAAGCTGTTTCAGCTTGGCTTCCACCTAGGCACGGTAATGTAAGGGTGTAGGACGGGAATTTTGTACCACCGGTTGTACAGTTGAGTCAATGTTGAGCTCAAGTTGGAAATCTTTTATTTTCCCGATTTTACCACTGAACACTGCTGCGAACTTCTGTAAAAGGTACTGGTATTCGCCGTGTACAGGTGAATGGTCAGTAGTTGTAAAGGCCGCGACATGCAACATTCCTAGCCGGGTTGAGATTTCACGACTCAGGAGACATCCAACTTTTGTGCTTTGAGTGCCGAGAACCTGGTCAGGTCCATTTGCCCTGACGCAGTATATACTGATCATTCCGAAAAACGATCCGGCAATAGGAATCTGGGTAGGGTTGTCTTCTCCATAAAGTTTCACACTGGTTTGTTTTAAGGGCACTGTTTTTGCGGCACTGATCGCCTCATATGTTGCTTAGTCAATGGTGTTGGGTGTCTAGAAAACGACGACCTAGAAAACAACGACCTAGAAAACGACGACCTAAAAATAACCTCGGGGAGGGGGAGGGGGGGGCTTAATAGAAGTTTGCGAAATGCCCCATCCCCGCACAAAACCAAAATAGCATATTCATAGCAAATCTAAGTGTAATCTTATCAAACGTGCCAAACACCTACGTAAATCGACCCGGCGCTGGTTGTAAGTAATGCTAAGGTCAATAGGTCTAATTTGCACGTGCAGCACACTTTTTTGCACATCGTAGTACGTGCAGACGATTCTCTCAGAACCAAAATTTCTTGAATGCATTTTGGGCGCTTTCTATTCACCCAAAACTTAAGAAACTTTGGAAACAGCGGCAATTGGTACAGTATTTTCCCGGAAAAGTTCCCAGACTTCCGGAAACGTTTCCGAAATGCGTACCATTCAACCAGAAATTTTAGACATTCGGGAGCAAATTTGAATGCGAAAAGAAACTCTTCCCGATGATAGTTTTCGAAAATTTGGGTGTATATTGCGAAAATGCGGTTCCATTCGGTACTGCATTGAAGTTGCCGAAAATTTAAACCAGACGTTTTGATTGAACGGAATGGCGCCCATGCAAAGGTAACCAAATTTGTCACTAATTCTGCTCCCTTTGCTCGCGCGCGTGAGAGCTTCACTAAAAAAGTTTCTCAAGTCAAATTTCGCTTTAGTATGGTCAAAGAAGTCATGATTCAACCTGACTGACTACTGGAAGCAAAAGCTTTGCTTTGACCTTTTTATTATCCTGATATCAATTTAAACAAATTTCCATCCAGTCTAAATGACCTAAATAATATACACTGCTTCACTGGCGCGTCGTTTATAGCGGCAAGTTCAAGCCCACATAAATCAAACAGGAAATAAATCAGGCTTGCCGTTTTTGTGTTCACAGCTCAATACCGTAAACAAACAGTTTATATTTTGAAAACAAAGAAAGAAGGGCTTCAACATTTTCTCGTACCTTTCCATACATGAAACGGCAGCATACCGGTAACGAGAATTGTGAAATATTATGTGGGACACAAGGAAGGTTGACATGTCATCAGATTTGAACTGTATTTGAACTGTAAGATTTGAATCGTATCATCCTAGGAGTTTCTGTTTCCTCACAGGTCCGATAGCGTGGTATATATGCAGTGAGATGTCCGGTAGAACTTTTGAATTTTTCAGAAATAAATTATTACATCATGTGAAATAGAGACAATGCCGCAGAGAAAAATTAAAAATTTCACTTCGGTTCATCTTTAATTCTTCCATCACTTTCACGCAATACACAATGCAATGTCCAAGACAAAACAATAGCTCCTACGACGACACTAGGCACTCTGTAACTGCTGTTTAAAAATGCGAGAGACTCCATGGAGCGAGCAATATCCAACAATAAACTGAGAGAAGCAGTGGATTTTATTGCGAAGGAGACGTCGACGAAGTGTGGTGGAATGACAATGTTCAATTAACTGGTCCTTTATAGCCTTCTCGAGCGTCAAATAGTACAACAAAATCGAGAAACAAAACAAAATCAATATAAACGTATATGGTTAGGAAGATAAACAGCCATATCCCACCTATGTATCCAAAGAAAAGTTTGAACATAATATGAACCTTCTACTGATAACAGAGGGTAGAAACAAACACTATGTACTTTAACTTTAACAAGTCCATGTACAACCAAACAAAACATCAACAAAGGAAACATTTCTGTATGTAATGTCTACAAGGTTTTAATAGTGAGGATATACTGAATAATCACAAGACTAACTGTATGGTTATTAATGGTCAGCAAGCTATAAAAATTCATGAGAAAGATAATAACATCTTGAAATTCAACAACTTTCATAAGCAGATGCCTGCACCATTTGTGATCTATGCTGATTTTGAGGCTATTACAGAAAAGGTAAAAGGATCCGAACCAAACATTGATAAACCATATACTGAAACATATAAAAAACATAAAGACTTTGGGCAAGGATATAAGGTTATTTGTTGTTATGATAAAAAATACACCAAACCAGTTCAAATTTATAGAGGAGAAAAGGCTGTATACAAATTCATGGAGAAGATGTTAGAAGAAGTGGAATGGTGCCGAAAAATGACCAAAAAACATTTCAATAAACCAGTGAGAATGACAAAAAAGGATCAACAAGATTTTGAAGAAGCTGACAAATGTCATATTTGTAATAAAAAATATTCTGAGAAAGATATTCGTGTCAGAGACCATTGTCATATAACTGGAAAATACAAAGGATCTGCTCATCAAGATTGTAATATGAATTTCAAGCAGGCTGATAAAATTCCAGTTATGTTTCATCATTTGAGTGGCTGTAATAGCCATTTTATTATGCGAGAGATTGGCCAAATAGCAAAAAAAGCACACCTATAAAAATAAAAAAGGTGAAGAACAACAGATGAACATAAATGTCATCCCTAATAATATGGAAAATACATGGCCTTCATGTTGGGTAAACATTTGGTGTTCCTTGATAGTTTCCAATTCATGAGCTCTAGTCTTGATAAGCTAGTAAGCAATCTCCCTGATAAAGCATTTAAATACATATCAGAAGCCTTTAAAAATGAACAATTCAAGCTTATGAAACAGAAACGTGTTTATCCATAAGATTATATGAGCAGTTTTGATAAATTTAATGAAAAACAACTACCAAAAAAAGATTTTTACGGCGTCTTAAATAACGAACACATTTCAGATAAAAACTACACCCATGCTAAAAATGTCTGGAAAACCTTCAACCTTAAATCAATGGGTGAATACCGTGATTTAGATGTTAAGTCAGATATCCTTTTACTATCTGATGTTTTCGAAAATTTTAGAAAGAATTGTCTGCAATACTATAAATTAGATCCAAGCCATTATTTCACTTCACCTGGTTTGAGTTGGGATGCTACGTTAAAAATGAATGTTGTTAAACTGGAACTTATTATAGACATTGATATGTTTCAATTTATTTAGAATGGTATGTGTGGTGGAATAAGCTACAATGTATATAGGCAATCGTTATGGTAAGGCAAACAATAAGTGCATGAAAAATTATGACGAGAAGGCGCCCTCAAAGTATATCACGTTTCTTGACGCTAACAATCTTCATGGTGGGCTATGAGTCAGTGACGCTAACAGTCTTTATGGGTGGGCTATGAGTCAGTATTTACTAACTGGTGGTTTTAGACGGCTTAATTGAATATCCTCACTCATTGCATGACCTACATAATGACTACCCATTAGCAGCTGAAAAAAGTAGTGTTTCCAAATATGTGCTGTTAAATTATTGTAAAACTATAAGACAAAAATACAATATTACTATTTAACAAGTTAAAAAACTAATTTCTACATTGAGTAATACTTACCATTAGTGAGGAAAAGTAGTCCAGAGCTGGCATGCTACGAGATTAGTTAATCAGCTAATCCGGTAGCGCCAACTCTATACTACTAATCGTTTAAAAAAATCAATATAAACCGATACCTTCTTCTAGGGGTTTAGCGGGGAACAAACTTTCTTTTCTGGAGGATAAACTTCTTTGGAATAATGGCGAACTAATGGAGCTGTAAGTACAGGCTATAATCATTTAATGCGAAATTTTTTTCCATTTCATTGCCTGAAAGCCCACTACATGACCTGCAAATAACTGCCACAAAAATAATGGTCTGCTCATGCGCAATATCGTCCAACTGTGTTCGGCTTTCACCGGCGAAAAATGTCTACGTATGCTCTGGAAAAAATGACACGTGATCTATTTCGGGCAATATCATTGGCTCCGAGACAAAAATGCCCGGGTAATGTTGTTGAGATGAAAGGAGCGATGGCAGCTTTTTTTGGCAGTGACAGCGTTGCAATTTCTTGCCACTGTAAAAAATCAACAATTATTTTGGTCAAAGTTTAGACGTAAGTGTGTTCTCTAGAGAATATAGCGCCCTGAAACTGGCGAAAAATCGCATTGGCATGGTCTGATTCAGTGTTATTGACGTTGAGATCGCTGGTTTGCATGTGGAAGACATGCCTAAAAGGTGGGTAATTTTTGCTCTTTTTGTTTACTGCATGTTCCGTGCAAGTCGGTACAAAACGAAATTATAAAGTAGTGGAAGGAAAATTATTGGCTTTGTTTTGGTATATAAATTAGCTTGTACCGAGTTGCACGGAAGCGACAGTTTTGTTGAATGTGTATCCCGTTGTTGTGTCAAAATTCGAATTTGATTGTGAATCGAAGATCGAGGAGCGTATTACAGTGCTATCCAAAATGTTTTTGTTGTTTAGATCAAGTTTCTTTTCTTGGATTCAACCAAAAAAAGTAGAGGGACGGACATTTTTGGGCTTTGTTTCGTTAATATGACTTAGCGTGTACTTTGTTGCTGGCAAATCTATGTTTAGGTGCTTAATCTCCGCATGTTTACACTTTTTATAGCAGAAAAATACGCTTACGCTTGGTTCAACTTAATCTCGTGTCACTCGGTACAAAAGGAAATTATAAACAAGGTAAAGAAATATTCGTAGCGATTGTCTTGCTGCGAAAATTGTCTTGTGGCTAGTGAATCGAAAGCGGCCGGGTTGCGGCAGTTTACTAAATTAGCTTAAAGTGCGTATTTCGAAACGTGATTTGTCGATCGATGCAAATTTCATTTGTTGTTGCACGTTATTACAGCTTTGTATGTTACCATATAGAAATTTGAGTTTTATGCGAACTGTCGAATGAGAAAATGTGAGAGTGTTTTCATTAAAACACTTAGACGGCCTTGGAGATACAGTTCGATAGGTCCAGCAACATTCTGATTTGTGAAAAAAATTCTGTTTACAATGTGCAAAGCTGCAGTACATTTAGGCTTGCATTTTTGTAATTGAAGGATCGAAGTTTAGATTATTTTGTTCATAAATTTGGCTTGGGATTATCCACACAACGAGTTACTTCGTTAGGAACCGCACTCAAGGACATGATTTCCTCTGTGAACAATTTTTCAGTACTAAATTTTTGCACACAAGGCTTTCTGTGGGGGGTGCTTCTTTGCTTGAAAATTGGATCCTGGAAGGAGATGAACAGGGTAATATTCCTGTGAATGCTTTTATTTTTCTGTCCATCGTTTTCGGCTTAATTTTTTTTGGCGCAAAGTTATGAATGAATGATAGAGTTAACAAGCTATTAAGTATTCGAAAGTTCTTTCCAAGAAAAAAAAATAATCCTCACAAATTAAACTTACAGGAGTTTAAAGTTTGGAGTAAACTTTGAGTCTTAATGAAATTTTAGTTGGATCATGTTGATGAATGCAGTTGTTTAGGATATGCAGTTTCCAATTTTGATCTTCTGTCAGAGTTATGAGAGAATACTCATTGCAAATACAGATCTCACTCATTATAGATATATATTATAACATTATAGTTTCATTGTAATTGTCGTTTGTTTCTTTTCCTATGAACTTCTCATCAGGTCTACATTTTGCATAAATTTAACGTATGTGATATATATACTCCTTTGTAGCACTTTTGACTACGCATCACTTTTCTGACTTATATAGTAAAAAGATCATATAGTATAATCAGTATTTTTCTAACATATTTGCAATCAAAGTTCTCTTCTTTTATATATAGTATTCCACTAATTTTAATCTTAATCTTTTTAATCTTATTCAGATCAAGCACAGTAACCATTGAAAAGAAAAAAGAAAAAAAAACCCTGCTCGGTCATAGACGGCTTTAAAGTTTTGATATTAAAATTGCAATGAAAAGTGCATGAATGCAGACACTACAGTTCATTTAGCTCATCTTCAAGCTTTTTTTTTTATAAATTAGAAAGTCTTGCTGGAGGAAACATAATTTTGCTTTACCCTTTCGGTAAAAAAAAAAATAATAATAAAATAACTTCCAGGTGTCTAAGCAATTTCAAATGACCCATAGTGTCTTATTTCTCCGCTGCATAGAGCTGTGAACAAAGGCCGTTCTTTCTAGTGACCAGGCTTTCATAAAAAATATTGTTGTCCTTCGTGTTCTTGAAGAGTCCAAAGTCGAATCCGGTAAACCGGCCAAAACGCGAATATCACAGGGAACGAATCCCATAGGAATAGGCGAAAAAGGATAATAAAAAGTCTAGGCTCTTCTAAAAATATCCGTATATGCATTTGCAACTCATATTAAGCCGCAATTAATCTTCTTTCCACTGGAATAAACAAACGATGGAGGTATTGCCGTCATTTTGAATTTGGCAATGTCACGTAGTCGCGCGTCGACCAATTAGACATTTTTCGCCGGTGAAGTGTTCGGCTGCAAATAATATTCTGCTCATGCGTAAACGAAACCACACTTTTCTCCTTCTTGCAATCGTTCTTGCGTGAAAAAAAGCAGATAGCTTCGCTTCCCGAAGATATTCATTAAAAAAACTTGGAGATTGAATGATAAAACAATAATTAAACTCGGTTATCGCAAAATATCGTGATCTGTCAGTGTCTCGCAGATCAATTATTTGCCTCAGCATTGGGCTTTGGCAAATGGTTGATCTGCTCGCCACTGACAAATCACGATATTTTGCTCAACCTCGTCCAACAATTGCTAATAGTTTGTAGAAAAAAGCGTAGACCATTTCAGTCTTATTAATTTATTTGTTTCGAAGAAAATACCTTTTTGTCGTTTGTTGTGCCAAATCTCAGGGATCTAGAAAGCAACCAGCTGGAGAAAATTGGTGCCAGTTTCTTCAGCAATCTCACTTCAGTCGAGTACCTGTAAGTATATCAAGATTAAGTAGAGATGTCTCAAATCAAGTTCTCAGAAACTGAAATTCTAAGAATCAAGCACATGCGAAATAACCTATCATGCTCGTAGACCCTGAGGGGCAGCCAACTGGGTCGACAGCTGAGGAAACTTTCGTCGCGCTGTTTCTGTAGACCCGACTGAGGAAGATGAAGTGCTTTTCGTCTCCGATTTGATGTATTAACATCACTAAGGCAATCAATGCATCCAATGCTTAAGCAGGAATAGAATAATGATGATTGTCATAAAATCATAATCTTAATGTCAATGGTAATCGTAATCATTATCATTATCATTACCATTATCATATTTATAATCATTATCGGAATCATAATCATAATCTTAATAACATGGTGTCTGGAGATAAATTTGCGCGTGAAAATTTTTGAGAACACCAAAGGAGTGCTAAAGAAACACGAGCCCCAAGCTTTTCGCTTAAGCTTTCCGACAAAGCTAATTGAAATTGCTTATTTTACTATTAGGATTAACCAACCCTTATTGGTTTAATCAAAAGCTTTGATTGATACATTTTTTCCTTATATAACGTAGTATACTGCGAGATAATCGA